TGTAACAAATAAAATTTTGTTCTGGCAGAAGCTCTTTGAGGTAAATATTTTTGTTATTCTCATTTTACAGATGTAGAAACTGAGGCACAGAGCCGTTGGGTAATATGTCCAAATCATATAGATACTAATGGAATTCAGAAGCAGCCAGGCTCTTTAACACCACGTCATGCTGTCTTCATTACTGTCATGGAAGTGTGTGAAGGAGATTAGACGAGAAAAATAAAGAAAAACAGTCAAAGCATTTTGAGGTGTTAGATCAATAATCTGTGGGGATGCTGAAATAACAGGGAAATAATGACCAGAGACCCACAACCAAAGTGACTGATGACTGAGTGAGGACATTCAAGAGTCAATGGAATGCAATAGAGAGGATATAGTAGGATCTCAGATTTTTAAATTTGATGACCAAACACTCTTGTGACCTTCAGAGAAAGTTGCTTCTAAATATTTCCACACGTTTCACTTTCAACCACCATTTTCTGTAGTTCAAGTGTGTGTGTATATGTGTATTTACAAGAGGGAAGGCTTCCAGAAACTCTGCTTTCAGTGTGGTAAGAGCACTGAGTGAGGATGGAATTAGGGGGTAAGGAGAGATCATAAAGGGCATGCAGCAGAGGATGGAACTGGAAGGATAAGTGTTATTTTGGTTCAAAGCTTCATTCCACCGTCACTTGGCTCTATCATTTTTTGGCCTGAGGTAAGGCAGCACATCATGACTACAGTATGTGGTAGAGAAAAAATCTGTCCACTTCCTGGCAGCTGGAAGCAAAGAGAGAAGGAGAAGAAGATACTGGGGTACCAAATCCCCCTCAAGATCATGCCCCCAGTCACTTAACTCTCTTCCACTAGGCCCTACCTCCTCAAGTTTCCAGCACCACCCAATAGTGTCTATGAAGAACAGTCAAGCTCCAAACCATAGTAAATGGCCTTCGTAGTAGAGCAATGGGCTCTGACATACTGTTCTTCTATTTAAATTTACCAACGATGTGCATTAAAAGGCAGGAAGATATTATTGAACAAAATATACTGAATTGGATACGTCAGAAATATTTAATCATGGTCTTTGATATCAGTTAGAAACAGAAATAATGAAAATATTTGGGGCATTTAAAATTGCTTTAAATATCGGAAATTTCATTTTTTATATATATTGCATAAAAAATTACTTACTTTAATCTTAAAAGTTTCTGCTAACAAAATTTAAATTTCTCTGGTGTGTGTGTATGTATGTGTGTGTGTGTGTGTGTGCGCGTATGCATGTGTTTAAACCAATAGAATCCATATTATGATAGTGTATTAAATACTAGGATTTTAAGGATTTTTAAATAACAGGCAGAATTTGAAAGTGGCTTTAATTTATTATTTAGTTCGCTTAAAAAGTTTTATATATTATTAGCTCAATTACTGTACTTTTTCAGAAAAAAAAATTTAATTAAAATCTTTATAATATGTTCCTGTTTTTTTTACCATTTTTTGAGGAGAGATTTATGGTTTTGTATCATGGACTCTATCAAGAACTTTGCCAGACTTTAAAAGGAGAACCTTTATTTTGAATTCTGTACGGAGATTGTGTTTTTAGCACATTCATTTCAGAGCAGAAAGGAACAAATGTGACAAAGTTTGTGCCCTTGGAAAAGGTCATTGTGTTAAGAGATATTATAGAGAAAAGGAAATTTGTGATCATAGGTATGCGGTTTACCTATGCCTAGTTTTGACCGTGACCATGGGGCTGCATTATTTTCTTCACTAAATTACAGACTCCATGGCTGTGTTCATGTCTGTTCTGGAGTCTTATTCAGCTCTGCTTTTGAAAATGGCTTTTCACAAAGGTAAAATAAAATAAGCGGATAAGATTGTGGCTTTCATTAACATTCTCCTTTGTAGTAATTTATATTCTGGAACATGAATTGAGTTTAATTTAAAATAAATATCAACATGAGGAATCAGTTAACTGGCTCAAGATAATTTTAGACTATTATATGTATGTTGTAGGTCTTTTTTTTTTTTCTGTAGTTTTCCTTTGTGGATATAGCAGTGAGGGTGTTGCAGTGGAAAAAGCATATACTTGATATTTACACAGATCTCAGAACTATCTTGAATTTCCTCTTTTATTCTAAATTCTCTCACCTGTAGCGTGGGGATACAAAAGTAGGTTTGTGAGGGTCCATGCCCGTAAAGGACCTAGTCTAGTGACCAGTGCATGCATATTAGGCTGTCCGGATGTGGCAATTACTCTAATGGCTATTTTCTTTGTTTAATGATAAGAGAAAATTAGACAAGAAAAATGGTCAGGTATTCCACTGGCCTAAAAAATGGCCATTGCAAACAGGGACTAGTGAAAAAAAAGTTTCCAAACACATTATAATTTTTAAAAATTCCAAAATTGAACTAAAGAATACCATACTTAGTAGAGTTAAAGATTCCTTTGAAATGTCTGATTTCTATAAAAAAAAAAATTTTCTTTTTAAATTTGGAAAAATGTGTGTCCTACCGCATAGTGTACGGATTTTCATTCAGAAGCTTGATGTAATCGGTAGAAGGACTTCATTATTAAAGGAAATTATATCTATTATACTGTATAAGGCAAGTTATATAAAGCTTAAGTCACATGTTTGAAAATATAGAAGTTAGTATTTCTGAAAAAAGTAAGGAACTAAGGAAAAGATAAGATGCACAATGTTCACAAACCAAAATTCAGTCATTCATTCATGTATTCTATGCCAGATTGATAATTACTGTAAAATTATTGGTTGAAATTGTAAGTTTATAAAGAACAAAATCCTGTTGTAGGTCAGCCTCTACTTCATGGGGTATGCTGAATTAAGGTGATGGTATTTCCTGATTCCAAAATCAGTCCCATTTTCATGAAGTCATCCCAGAAAAAAAATATGTTTATGAAGCAAATTGTGTTCTGAAATGTGATGACAATTCTATTCTACTATAACTTTTTCAATCAATAACCTTCGTTCTTTTTTTCAGACACAAATGAGGCAAATAGTGCTGTTTACACCTATATAAATGTAAATGATGTTTCTTACATAGTTACTGGAACATAAATAATGTCTCCCCAATTAGAATTTAAAGATATATACTAGTCATTTTTTTTACCACTGTGACCAAAATACTTGCCAAGAACAATCTTAACAGAGGAAAGGTTTATTTTGGGCACACAGTTTCAGAGGTCTTAGTTCCTGGTTGGCCAACTCCATTCCTCTGGGCCCAAGATGAGGCAGAACATCATGACAGAAGGGTATGGTGGAGGAAAGCTGCTCAGGTCATGGGATCTGAGAAGCAGAGAGAGAGAGAGAGAGACAGAGAAACGGTGAGGTACAGATATAGTCCCTAAGGCCATGCCTCCAGTGACCTAATTCTTCTAGCCATATGCAACCTGCCTTCAGTCGGTTCAGCTAACAGTGGATTAATCCAGCCAATGAATTAGGCCCTAATCATTGTCTAAAAATCCCACTTATGAACCTGGATACATTGGGACTCATGCTTTCAACACATGAGCTATTGGGGGACATTCAGATACAAACCATAATAATATGTGACATAAGAACTATATGTAAGTCATGCTGAGTGACACATTGGTCAGCACATGGCCTACTTTCAATATTCTTTTTAGAACACATACAGAAAGCCTGTAGATCATAAGTACATTGAGTAATATAGTTTCCATAGTCCATTTTTATAGCAGTGCTTACACTAATCAATTAATGTTTTGACTTAGTGGATTAAATAATGGATAGCTGTGGACCAGAGAATTCGAAGGTCAAAAATATCCAGTTTGTCCTTTTTTGTCTGGAGTATTTCATGTAACATAATGATTTGAAGGTTCATCTAGGTTGTAGTTGATTGCTTATTTCATGGTCTGTTTCCAGTGTGGTGGTGAGATAATTTGATGCGTCAGAACTTAATGCTTTCATACCTTGAAGGAAACCTGATTTCTTTCTACCTCTGGTTATTATGAAACTGCTGCAACTGGCATACAACTCCTCATCAAGTCCTGAATTTGAGCCTTTGGGGCATGTACCTAGTAGTGAAATTGCTGATGAGTCATTTTTACTTCTATGTTTAGAGAAATATTGTTTAGTTTCGCTTACATTAAGTTTCTAGAATAGGCAACTTCATAGGGACATAAAGTGGATTACAGCTTACTAGAGGTAGGAGAAGAGATATGGGAATGGGAAATTATTGCATGGTGGTTACAAAATTGCTGTTTGAAGTGATAAAAATGTTTCAGAAATGGATAATAGTGATAGTTGCACAACACTGTGAGTGTAATTATGACTACTGAATTGAAGAATGGGAAATGTTTATGTTATATATATTTTACTGTAATTTAAAAGAGATAGTATAATATTCCACAAACCATTGAATTATATACTATATGGTATGTGAGTTTTATACCATTGAAGCTGGTTATCCAAATAAGACACACTGGGAAAAGGAAAGTTTAAGATTCCAAACTTATTTTATGTTGACCCTACACAGTAGTTGGAGATAGAATAAATTGGCTTTGGGAAATGGATGCTTCCATCAAAAGTAACATTAAATACTGTAGGGCTACGTGAGGGGGACAATCAACTCCAGGAGTTTCAGTTTCCACTGTAAAGCATAAAGCAATGTCATAAAATAACTACAAATTTAGAGGGTAAAAATCTATATATAGATACCTGATATATACTCACAGACACAGATACATGTACATTCACACACATATATACATATACTATATAGACAAAATTAAATTTCAAATACACATACCAATACCTTCTATTTTGTGTATTTATAATTTTATTCTAGATTTTGCATTTGAGAATGTTCATATGGTTTCTATTATGATCTTTAACCCCAGTCCATAGACACTCATCCATATGCTTGGGGAGGTATGGTAAACAGTAAATTTGAAGGATGGAATGACATAATATTTTCTGTATTAAAATATTCCATTTTATATTAGATTGTCTTTTTAATTATTTTTTAAACTTTTTTTTCAGCTGCTCCAGTTGATGTACTTAAAGCACTAGATTTTCACAATTCTCCAGAGGGAATATCAAAAACAACAGGATTTTGCACAAACAGAAAGAACTCTCAAGGTTCAGATACTGCTTACAGAGTTTCAAAGCTAGCACAACTCAGTGCCCCAACTAAACAGTTATTTCCAGGTATGTTCAGTTTATTGTGAGTCCTACTATTACTGCTACTGTTGTTACTACTAAGTCTCCTTTGACTGTTTCTTTGCTAATGACTATTTCTTTTTACCATTCTATATAATACCCAATTATAGGTTGAAATATAATTTGATCATATATCAGTTACCAAATACGTTGTGATCACCAAAGTGATGAAATGAAAATAATTATTGCCAATCTTTTAATTCATCACAATCACAGAAAATATGCTTATTTTAACCCTTAATAATTTATAATTTCAACATGACAGAATTCGAAGGCAGCATTTTATGACCATTCCATTTTTGTATGTGATCATGTAGAACTTTTTCATTGGAAGAAGTGGGTATTGGAAGGAGACCTTACTCTTACTGACTAGTTTGTTTAATAGGCATGTGGATTTAGACATAATTAATATGTATTTTCTTAAGACTAATACTTAGTACTGTTTCTGTTGAAAGAAACACTTCTGTGGTAGATATTAATTTTGCATTAACTTTGCATGCTATTCTTATCTGAAATATAATAAAGCTAGTCACATCTTATAGTTACTGGGAGTTCTGGGACTAGAGATTTTCTAAGACTTCACCTAGCAGGGTTTCATAATGGTACGGAAAAATACATGGTAAATAATTTCTTTTCTTCTATGAAAGAACGAATTGATCTCATAACACTAATTATCTAGAAATTATGATACTGTGGGAAAAGGGAATTGAATGGTGAATGAAAATTTCTGAGTATCAAGTTTTCTAAGCAGGTAGCTCCTTGCACCTACTTGCAATTGACACATGACAAATTATTTATCCTTATAAGTTTAAGTTAGGTGTCCTAATCCCTGTTTAACAGAGGAGGAAACAGTTTCACAGATGCTGTCTGACTCTACCAAGTTATAGAGGGATCAATATTTAATCAACATTTGTTTTTCTCCAAGGCCAATATTTCATATATTATCAAAATTTATTTCTGATGCATTAGAATCTTCTCAGCAGCAGTTTGCAATTAATTTCTTCATATTGTCCTATACCTTCTCTATCTCAAGAGATTTAAATTTTCTATTTTTAGTAAAACTTTTACTAACAGAAAGGTATGAATCAAGGAATTAAACAATTATAAAACAATAAAGCACACTTTTCATGCAAAGACATGTTAAAGTATATTTCATTTATTTTGATTGTTCATTGAATTTTCCAATATGTTTTGTGCTTTGCTATTATTTGTGATAAACAAAAGTTACAGTGTATAAGAAAGAAGCCTAAAATTTCTGGCTTTAAAAATTAAAAATTAAGTTAGAACGGGGCTGGGGATGTGGCTCAAGCGGTAGCGTGCTCGCCTGGCATGTGTGCGGCCCGGGTTCGATCCTCAGCACCACATACAAACAAAGATGTTGTGTCCGCCGAGAACTAAAAAAATAAATATTAAAAATCTCTCTCTCTCTCTCTCTCTCTCTCCTCTCTCACTCTCTCTTAAAAAAAAAAAGTTAGAACATATTTTAAAAATTCAATTTAAAATTTTCAAATAGTAAAAGTCATTACTTTTTAATTTCCTATTGCATTTCTAATAGAAATAGTAATGGGAATTTTCAAGAGAGAAAAAGTAGAGAAAATGTAGACTAATAGAAATATTTTAGAAATACTCATGAAGTTATTGTTTATAATTTTTTTATAATTGGGTCATTATCAGGGTCTGTTTATCTGTATTCCAAGATGGTAGTTAGCTAATTTGATTAATTTTATATGTCATCTTGTTTTACTCATGAAGAAAGAAAATAATTTATGTCTGTAGGATCTTCTTCCATTCCAATTAACAGAATTTAACTATATGAATGTTTTTACTCCTTCTCACATGATTGAGTCTGAGGCATGATTCTAACAGTGAGCATTTCAGATAAGAGACACATATTATAGATAACATCATGGAAATGATTACAAGCTTGCCATTCTGGACGGTAGAGTTTTCTGTCCATTAAGCAAAATGATAGTAAAAATTAGTCACAACAGATTACCATTAAAAATATTAAAATAGTAAATATTAATTATAAAGCAGTAAAAAACATCTTTGAAAAACATATTTGGAATATACTATCATGCATTATAAGAAGATATAAAAGCAATTTCTTTTCTAAAGAATAAGCAGAAGGACTGGAAACTTTAGTACTCATCAATGGAGCAGTGAGAAGTTGTCGGTTGGATACAGTCATTAAAATATTCTGGTAGAATTAAGGTATGTGTCTTTCAAAGTCCCAACTTGAAACCTTTAAGTTAAATTTCTGAAAGTTGGAGCTGAATGGAAGCCCTTTAGAGCCCATGCCATGAGACAGACTCTGTACAAGAAACTTTACATATATTGACCTATATCTTTGTAACAATCAGAGGAGGGTAATATTAAAATATTAAAAAGTTATTATGCCTTTTTCATTTCAAATGTATTACTGGAGGCAACATTTAAGGATCTTAAAAGCTTGGTTTAACAATCACTATTGAATTTGTTATACCAACAACAATATGTCAAGATTATTATTACATATATATAGATATATATGACTTTTATAAACTCAGGAAGGAATAATAGCACTTTTTAACAAGTCATTTAACATGCTTTATTCTTAATCTATTTATATATTTCAAAATATGGATTAAACTGCAAAAGCCCATATTTTATCTCTACTATAAATTCTCATCACTTATTTCTGGTGAAATTTTACATTTTCAGTGAATGCATTTCTGTTGTGAAACTAACATTTGTCTGATTAATCCACTAAGTTATGAACAATATTAATTATCATAGGAAGGAAACTAAGGTGGGTGTCTAGGTTAGACTGATAATTTTGACATCAAGTCATGATTTTCTTAGACAGCTTATTTTATTTCTGAAAGGTCAGAACTTAAAGATCGCAATTAAAATCCTTAATGTTTAACTTTAAAATGGGAAATAGACATTTTAATGGACAAATTTTAGTGCTTTGTATAGTAAGAAGCCAGAGATTTTCAAAAGTTAAGGTGTATATATTAGATGGTTAATTAAAATTTTTCATTCTTTTAGTCTTGTATGAAGGTATTATTCCCTGGAATTCCACTTTCCCTAGATGTCTCTATGTAGACATTTTTATAAATGTCTAAAATAGTGGACAAGGCATTAGTTTCCACTAGCTCATAATATTTTAATATCAATTTATTTCAGTGAATAAAATCTTTGAAAAATTTAGATGCAGTTACAGTGTCTTGTTGTTCTTAGTATTCTGAAGTATTTGTTTGAAGAAAAAGTTTGTTTGCCAATAATAATGGGCTGGATTACCTAGCTATATAATTATAGTGTGAGCTGGCAATAAGCATTTTTTTGGGGGGGTGGTTAATAGGGATTGAATCAAGGGCATTCAACCATTGAGCCACATTCCCAGCCCTATTTTGTATTTTATTTAGAGACAGAGTCTCACTGAGTTCCTTAGCGCCTTGCTTTGGCTGAGGCTGGCTTTGAACTCACGATCCTCCTGCCTCAGCCTCTCGAGCTCCTGGGATTACAGGTGTACACCATTGCACCTGGTAGCATTTTGTTAGTTGATTTGTTTTATTATCTTTCCATTTTCTTCCTATGACTATATTCTTTCTATTGATTTCCATAAATGTAAAATTGTATGTTTTTGTGGTATTTAAATTCAATTGAAGGCTGGGAGTTTAGCTCAGTGGTGGAGTGCTTGCCTAGCAGGTACAGTGCCCTGGGTTCAATCCCTAGTACCACAAAATTTAAAAAATAAATCAAATTGAACAAAACTAGATGTATAAATTGAATTGGAACTAGATAGATGGATTGATGGATTTGCTGTGACAGCATTGAACATTTTTACACATTTTTTTCAATTTTGTGTTTTGTATTAGTTTCACTTAACTATATAAATATATATTTTATACATATATATGTGTATATGTATATATACATATATATGAGATAAGAGCAGAATAGCCCACATTGATTGCTCTTTTGGGTGTGATATACTCTTATTTAATTACCAGAACATCCTGGTGGGACAGATTATTTTATTAATGGTTTGAAAACCAACTAAGAAGTTTTTCAGTTATTTACCAAGAACACATAGTAAGAATGTCAAAGGACAGAGATATGATACAAAACCTTCTGCTTAATTATTCCATGCAAATATTTTTAGCATAAAATGTGTCTGCATGGCTTGTTATTTTTCCTTCCATAATATATTTTAAATAATTTCCATTTAATCAAACATCTTTCTGTTACATGCTTTTATTTATGTATTTGTTTACTGATACTTATGACTGAACACTAGGGTTATTTATCATTGATCTACATCTTCAGGCATTTTATTTTTTATTTTAAAACAGGGCATTGCTAAACTATCTGTTACATTCTTTTAAGTGGCTTCATAGGATTCCATTATGTGGATAATCTGTATTTTATTCAACCAGTCTCAGCCATTGCAACCCATTTTAATATTTTGTCATTATAAATAGTGCTTTGATGACAACATCATATCTTTACATACAAGTGTCCTCTCTTTGTAAATTCTTAGAAGTAGAATTGCTGATCTTCTGTAATTGAATGTGAATGTGTGACAGACACATTCATAATGCCTTTATTATTTTATAGTACTCCCTGTAATAGAATTTGCAGTCAATGGATTGTACATGAACTCTTAATATTGGTCCAGGTATTATCTATCATACATGCACATACACCTGTTTTGCAAATGGACATCTTTTTTAAACTAAACTCATCCCTCAAATAATTTTGCCTGTTTTACTTATATGCCAGGATAGTAAGAGGTTTAAATTTTATATATATACTCATATATACAGGGAAATTATATATATGTGTATATATATATATATGGAAATTATATATGTGGAAAAATTATATATATATGGAAAAATGTCTTCATGACTTTAGAATCAAGTTAGCTAAGTACCCAATACTTTTCATTGATAAATACATATGCTTCTTATATGTGAAACTGCATCGTGTGGTATCAAAAGCTGATCAAAAACTCGAACTTTTGAAGGGATGATGAAAATAATATCTTTATAAAATGTCATTAAAATGCCTCTGACTAGACACAGTCAGAAAATACCGACCTTTTGCCAAAATTAATGCTTAAATAGGTGTTTCAAGAGTTACTGTTATGTTTTTGATATTGTATTGGAACCATGATTGTGTTTTCTTACTTCAAACTCAATTTCTCATAATCATCATGCTTTAAATGAGTGACTTTAAAGTTGGAAAATAACTTGGATCAGTATTACATGGAAAGTTAATTGAGTCATAGAGTGCCCCCCACCTACCCCATTTGTTTGTTAAACTGTTTACTTTTTGAATTTAGATCATTAAGGCCACATAGAAAGTTCAAAAATAATGCTGTGATCTAAGGACAATTTGGAAATATAGAATTTCTAACACATTGGACTTCTCTTTTCAGGTGGAACTTTTCCGGAAGATTTTTCAGTATTATTTACAGTAAAACCCAAAAAAGGAATTCAATCTTTCCTCTTATCTATATATAATGAGCATGGTATTCAGCAAATTGGTGTTGAGGTTGGGAGATCCCCTGTTTTTCTGTTTGAAGACCACACTGGAAAACCTGCTCCAGAAGATTATCCCCTCTTCAGAACTGTTAACATTGCTGATGGGAAGTAAGTAGCCAGTGACCAAATGTGTTAGCTATGCTGAAAACAATACTTTCACTTAATCATTCAACAAATATTTATGAAGTGTGATACGGTTTTTTCTAGGGTCTGGGAATGAAAAAACAAAACAATGAAATGCCTACCTTGCATAATTTATCTTGCAGTCTAGGCAGGCAAAATATTTAGAAATACATTAGTAAAGATTATATAAGTATAAGTGTGACAGAAAAATAGTGCAGAGGAAGGGGAAAGACAGTGGGCAGAACAATTGTTAAAAGTAATGTCAGGAAAATCTCCATAGGAATGGAACAAGTCAAGGAGGTGAGGGACATGCCATGCTGAGAATCACAAGCATTCTATTCTAGGAGGAGAGGAAGCCAATGCAAAGCTTCTGATTTCATTTGTTCCAACATGGAGGAAACCAACATGGTAGGAGCAGAGTGGGATGGTGAGCGTGGAAAAATTCTTGGGAAGCCAGATGGCATAACACATCCTAGGAGGCTACAAATTCTGTTCTCAGTGAGATAGGAAGTCAGTGGAGCATCTTAAGTAGGGAATGATCTAATTTGACTTATTATTATTTTTTTTACCATTAATAGTAATATGTGATCATAGAAGCCTTATCTAATAATTGATATATGTCCATACTGTTCTAAGCACTTAACACATAGCTAAATTATTTAATTATTCACAAAAACTTTAAGAAGATAATGTTAATAAATATTACTGATAAGGGGACCAAGTCACAGAAAGTTTATCTGATTTGTCTAATGTCATAAAGTTGGAAATTGGCAGAGGTAGCTTTGGGATTTAGGTAGTCAGGCTCAAACTACAGTCTTCTGAAACTGCTGAATTCTGTGTTGTAATGATTGCCTTTTGCTTAGGGAGCCACTAAACACAAACAAATGTGCATTAAATTTTACTACACTTTTAATTGCTGTATTTAGACCCCTAAAATAGCTTTATCAGATATAGAACTTTTGGCTATAGACAGAAGGAAAGAGAAGTGCAGGTGGAAAAAATAATTCATATACATTGTGTCTTTGTCAGGACCCGAGAGAAACCTCCAACTCTCAGTGCCAGAAAAAAATAGACTTTCACAAGTAATTTAAATTATTATCCTATAGAAAAGTAAAATATTATATCACATTATGTTTCTATTTTTGACCATTAGCCAACACCAAGGTAAAATTTAATTCATATTTAATATTTGTTTAAGACATTTTTAATTCATCTTATTATTCAAACATTGTTTTTCTTTGTCTTATTTACCCTCATTAGGATGCCTTCTTAAGTGAAAAAATTAATTTATCATGGCCAGCATTCTATTTGAAAATGATAGGCAGTGCTTAATTGGAATAAGTTATTAAAATAAAACATGGGAAATGCTCAATAAACATTTTTATTGATTATCAAACAGAACAATAGTTATATTTACATGTATCACAGTGGTAAAATATTACTGACAATATATTGGATTAAATAAACACCTTTCATTCATATATTTATTCAATCATAATGTATCAAGTGCTTACCATGTGCCGCACTGTATTATTCATTTGATACTGTTAAAATGTGACATATTTGTTGAACCCAACTAGCATTACAATTTCAATTCAAAAATTATTGGTATTTAAGCACACTTTGATTTATTAAACTACATTTCTCACGATGATAGGCTATTCAATCTGTAAGTATTTATCCACTACTTGACTAGACATCTACAGGGCACAGGTGAGGCCATGAATAGCCCATGTGAAGTCTCTCCACACCTGGAGCTTAAATTCTAATAGAAAAGATCAACAACAGAAGAGGGAAAAATACAGGAAGTGCTGATAGTTCTATGAATGAAAATAAATCCAAGAAATAGATGTATTTAGTGTACTATTTTAGACTGGGCAGTCTTTTTGATGATGTGGTATTGAGAAAAGTTCAGGGAGCAGGAATTGCCCTGAGGGGATGTGGAGGAAGAGGTTCTTGCAAAGTGAAGAACACTGGGGAACAGCAGGAAGGAGGCAGGAAGGCAGTGTATGGATGGGACTCAGGGAGTCAGAGTGTGAAAAGTCAGACATGAGATCAGAGAGGGCCTGGGCACCCTGTTATAGGAGTACTTGATAGATGGAGACATGATCTGTCTCATATTCTTAAAGGTCGCTGTGGTTGCAAAAGAGTGGAAACAGCAACTACGGAAAGAGATGACAGCTTGACATTGGATTTTGTTTATACTTTGAATATAAGAACCGAGGAGAGTTTTCTGACGATAAAAATGTATGAGAGAAAGGAAATAATGGAGAAGGACTTCAAAATGAAGTGTTAATTTATTTTCTAACAGTATTTTGAATATTACGTGATACTGTGATTTTGATGTCTCATTATTATCACAGCTTAAATTAATTCAACAAAAATGCCATTTAGGGTTCCAATCAGCTTTTCACAGTTGAAGTCTTTTTTTGTTTTCTGCTAATGAAAAGCACATACCTATGACAGTAGGAATGGTTTAAGTTAAGACACAGGCAGCTTGGCATGAAGTATGTGTAAATTTTACTCTCACTGTATTAAGTGACTCCTTATATAAATCTGCTCAATTCAAACCAAGCAGATGCCTATGCTAGTTGAATGTGCTTGTGGAAAGACCAGAGATTAAGTGTATATGGAAATATAGTTGGTCCTCATCAGTAGCCATGCCAAGTATCATGAAACAGACATTTTAGGAAGGCTCCTTACATCTTTTTGGGTAATTTATTTTATGGATCTAGTCCTAGACACTTCTGGAATATTAATCTATCCCTTTTTTATTTGAGAAAAAAAATATAAACCAGAGTGGCTTGCAGAATCCAAATGAGCTTCACTTAGTGGTTTACGTTAGCACCAGATATTGTTAATAAACTCTTCTTTTCACAATATTGCTAAGATACATATGTTTCCAAAGGGCTGGTCGTGTCTCCCCCTCTAAGCCTGTCATCACCATCCTGAATTAGCTGGAGCAGTAGCTGCAGAATGAATTGAGACTCTCCCTGTAAGCAGGCACTGACTGCTTTCTTTTAGTGTTCCCATTTCCTGCCAAGAGTGGGAAGCAGGAGAGATACTGTGTCTCAGGCTTGGAACCTACCCACACTAGTGATCTATAACTGTCTTGAAATTAAAGTGGGAAAAGAAATTGAAAGCACTTAAAATAAACGGGAATAAAGACAGTGCAGTGCATTGTGTTTTACAGTTCGAACGTTGAGTTGCTCCAGATGGAGTAGTCATTCTGTTAGGAGGTCCTTTTTTGTTTGTTGGTTGGTTTCATTTTTTTGTAGGTGGAAAGCATTTTCTTTGGAAGAAGTCTTTGTGCACATAGAAACTACTGCTTATACCCTGTCCCTTCCTAATCTCTATCAAATACCCTCATCAGGATGCAGTGAGATTATGCTTTTGTTGCTGCGACATAAAGTGAAGCAGAGAATGGGCATGTCCTTATCAGCAAGGACAGATAATTCTGCTGTGCATCTTAAGCTGCTAGTATTTTTTTGAGTACCTAGCACTATGCTGGGTAAGCAGTTAGCTGTCACCAGCTAAACAATTGATTCCAAAGCTTACATTTTAAGCCATTTCAGCTCACTTTTTGTAATTTAAAATATACTGTATGTGAATAATGCTTTGGCAGCCAATGTTATTGAAGCTTACAAAAGAATTACCTGGCTTTTTTTTTTTTCAGGTGGCATCGGGTAGCAATCAGTGTGGAAAAGAAAACTGTGACAATGATTGTTGACTGTAAGAAGAAAACCACAAAACCACTTGATAGAAGTGAGAGATCAATTGTTGATACCAATGGAATCACAGTTTTTGGAACAAGGATTTTGGATGAAGAAGTTTTTGAGGTAAAAATAAACTTTTAAGCTGAATATTATTAAAGCAGATGAACTAGGTTAATAACAGTAACAATCAATATCTATTATGAAGCAAAGTTGAAAACTGTAAAGAGTGACCTACTTTCTAACCCTGTGGGTGTAGCAGTGATGTTTTGTATTGTTTATTAAGAGAATGACTAGACAATGGTGACTGAAGTGGCTGGGGAACCTTTACAGAGATTGGTTGATTTGAACACAGGCACACTATTCCCCTGGGAGGGACAAATGGCTCTACTCTTAGTACTTTGTATTATTTTCTTTGGAGAAAAGAACATTTTCTTCTCTTCCTTCTCTGGAAGATTAATTTTGAGAAATGTACAAGTCTCTATTCTGACTTGCTTTGTTCTTTGTGAGTATTTCCAAGGTAAAGTAAAGATCATATTGCAAAAGGATGAACTTTTAAGCTTTTAAATCATAATTTTAAAAATAATATGAAGGTCATGGGAAGCAGTCTCTTTCAATTTTATTTCACTAATTATGATAGTCACATTCTTTCCTTTAATTCTTTAATCATTGGACCTGGTAATTTGTGCTTTTGTTTTTAGTCATTTTTTAACAGAACAAACAGATCTCAGTCTCCTGACCTCATAAAGAGAAGCATGCACTCCTGACACATTATTCATTACTTTCATGATTGCTTTAACATAATTTCTGAGTCATTTAATTTTCAGAGTGAAACAGAGTAAAATTGTGCAATATAATATAGGTAGAGACATGTTTCCTATGGGAGATTTGCTGTATTCTGTTGATGTGTCAAAAAAAACCCCAATATATATATATATATATATATATATATATATATATGTGTGTGTGTGTGTGTGTGTGTGTGTGTGTATATATATATATATACACACATATATATGCACATACATATGTGTACACACACATCTATACATACAGTGTATATTTGCATTGAAAATACAGTGTAAATTAGAGTATTATCTAGACTATCATATTATTGTAATTATATACATAACTATGGTCTGAGGGTAAACATAAATAACACTCATGACATTTTCAAATTATTTATTTAGAATATATTTTTTTCTGATGTTTTTCACTTGTGTGTATTTAAGTCTTTGACTCTACATAAGATATTTTAATTTGTAATATGTCTGGATTAAATGATAAACTGATTCTGGTAATATATATTGGTAATGTAGACCCAGGTCATTCAATGTAATTCATTGATTGCACACACTATGATAAATAACTATTTATTAAGCAAATGAATATTATAAACAATTAGTATAATTTCCAGTCTTTTAGAATCTTATTTTAGAATTAGACTATCCATAAACATTAGTTTCACAGGCATAATGCATATTTTTAACCCCAAGAATCTTATTTTCCAGGATCATAAATGAATAATATAGGATTTCATTCCCTGGCCCCTGCCCTTTATTCTTCTTTCTCTCTCTGTCTCTATCTCATTTAAATTTATAATACCATAGACCACATTTTACATCCTAGAATAACTCCAATCATTTATCTAGAGGAGCTATTAAAACATTAAGAAAAAATAATTCTGAAGAAATTGTTTAATGGAATTCTAGTGAATTGACAATGTGTGGTGAAAAGTACACTTATTAAACTGCTTCACATTTTGGAGTTTTATGAAACTCTTATGAAGCTTTAAATAGAACATTTATTTGCTACAAAGCGTGAGTCAGTTTTTTAAAATGTAAATGAAGACAGCACCTTTCACTATCAGATTATCCTCTACCATCTTTGACCAGACAAATAGGGAAACTTTATTTTTACTTAATAAACTGTTTGAAATGCTTTAGAGCAAAATTCTTTTAATTGGCTGAAATTTTGTATTTGTCTAATTCACATATCCAGTCATGATGTGTTAGATTAAGGTCTTATCTACTAAATTGTATTACTGTATGGCTATATAAAATTACTAAACCAATATAGTCTCTTTCCATTTAAAAATAGAGCATGAAGAGAAAAGAGTACAGGCCTTTATAAGTGGAAGATGGTCTGAGTGGGTGAACATTTTTGTAAGCACAATGTGTCCAACCAACACTGATCAGAACTCTTGGTTTTTCCATTTGACAATATGCTGCAAAGATGTAAGGAAAAATAAAAAAGAAGAACCACATTGCTTGTGTTTATTATCGATAAAATCATTTTGAAGACTTTTAAACAGGAAAATTGCCAAATAACAAGATATAGCCATTAGAACTCAAGTTTTCATAGCATCTGTTATGGTTTGGATGTGAGGTGTCCCCAGAAAGCTCATGTGTGAGACAATGCAAGGTTCAGAGAAGAAATGATTGGATTATCACCCGGCCTAATCAGTTAATTGATCCCTGATGGGATTAACCCAGCAGTAAAGAGGCCAGTGGGGTGTGCTTGCTGGAGGAAGTGGTTCATTGTGGGCGTGGCTTTGAGGGTGGAGATTTCCTATTTTTACTTTCTGATGCACATGACTTCTTCCCTCCTCCACACTCTTCCGCCATAATGTCCTTCCTCATCTTGAGTCCCAAGAAATGGAGCCAGCCTCTTGTGGACTAAGATCTCTAACTCAGTAAGACCTCAAATAAACTCTCCTTCCCTTAAAATTGCTCTGGTTGGGTCTTCTAATCACAGCAGAGAAAAGCTGACTAAAACAGCATCATTAATTTTAGTCTTTAATTTTTTAGAAATATTGAGAATCATAGCAGATTATTACAAGTCTTTTATATTTTAACTAATATTTATCTGCCTTGGGGAGAATCATTCATTGAAACAATTAGTGAAATATGATGGCAATTAGATGGGAAAAGCTTCTTGATGAAAATTTTGGGTTTTTCCTTACTCAGAAAATATTTTTAAATTAATGTGTGTGTGTGTGTGTGTGTGTGTGTGTGTGTGTGTGTAGAAATCCATGCAGAGAAGTAACAATATATACAAGCTATGCTTTCTTTTTCTTTTCTTTTCTTTCTATTTAAATTCCTGGGATTGAATCCAGGGCTTCTCCCATGGTAGGCAAGTGCTATGCCACTGAGCTTTACACTCAGCCCTCAGCCCATTTTACTTTTATTTCAAGACAAGGACTTGCTAAATTGCTCAGGTTGGCTTTGAAAATTGCAATGCCCCTGCCTTAGCCTCCTGAGTAGCTGGATTCATAGGCTTGTATCACCTGGCCCTGCAAAACTATGCTATTTTGGTAGTTCTGCAAGACCTGAAAAATAAATAATGATAATGAATAGGTAAATCCTACCTTATATACTAATAGCCATTCCAAATAATCCATTAAATTCTTATCAGATTAAGATGGGCCTCAGTAACCCAACCTGTAATCCCAGTGGCTCCAGAGGCTAAGGCAAAAGGATCAGGAGGTCAAAGCTAGCCTCAGCAACTTAGTGAGTCCCTAAGAAACTCAGTGAGACCCTGTCTCTAAATAAAATGTAAAAAAGGGCTGAGGATGTTGCTTAGTGGTTAAGTGCCCCTGGGTTCAATCCTTGGTACCAAAAAAAAAAAAGAGTTCTTATAAAATTAAGAGTTTTATTATTGATTTGTGATGTCCTTTTCTCTTTCTACTGTGTATATTTTCCAGTGGTACACATTTTAAACATTGTAAGACAGTAGATATGGAAGGAGCTATGTGGTAGGATAGAGGGAATTTTCCAGTATTCATGTTTGCCAGTTTGAATATATTTATATTCATGGCCCTTGAGAATTTTGTGTATTATCCTATTTACATAGTGTTTTCAATTTGCTAAAAACCTTTAAAATTTTGAGTCTATATTAATGAGCGATATTGGTCAATGATTGTTTGCATTTTTAATATCTGTCAGAATTTGATATTAGAATTATGCTGTCCTCATGTACTGAGCTGGACAATAGTCTTTCCATATCTATTTTATGAAAACTTCTGTGTATAATATCTTTCTCCAATATTGTATAAAAGGCACTAGTGAAGCTGGGCATGGTGATGCACACCTTGAATCCCAGCAGCTCAAGGTGGGTTGAGGCAGGAGTATTCTAAATTCAAAGCCAGCTTCAGCTAATTAATAAGGCCTTAAGCAATTTATTGAGACCCTGAGACAAAATAAAAAATAGTGACTTAGTAGTTAAGCATCCCTGGGTTCAACCCCTGGTATTAAAAAACAAATAAAAGGAATAAAAAAATAAACAAACAAAAAGCACCAGTGAAAAATATCAGCCTGAGGTTTCTTTTCAAAATTATTTTTTTTAATTGCTCGCCATGGTGGCACATACCTGTAATTCCAGTGACTCTGGAGGCTGATGCAGGAAGATCAAAGGTTCTAGGTCAATATGAGCAATTTAATGAGACCCTGTCTCAAAAAATAAAAAGAATGGCCAATGGTGCTCAGTGGTAAAGTGGCCATGGGTTGATGCCCAGTACCAAAAGTATAAACATTAAAAACATAAAATAACAATAAAAATTTGCCTAAAAAAAGGTGTTTTAACATACTCAATTTCCTTAGTAAATATATTTTGTTGATATATTTAACAGATCAATTTTAGGCTTACTTGATTCTTGACTATTTATTATATTTAACTTTATTTTACGTAAAATATGGGAACAGAAAGTTTCTAGATTTTCAAAGTTGAAGGTCGATATTTTAAGATTTATTTCTTCCAACTACATGAATTTTAAATTGTACATTATTTTTCTAAGTGAACCTATTGGAATTAGCCTGTTGGATATTCTTGTTTTTTGATCCCCTTTTGTTTCTTCCTTTTGATTGATGTGAAGAGACTAGTAACTTAAAATACATTAAGAATTGCATTAAATGTTGATTTCTTATTGGTATGGCTTGATATAGGTCTACAATTTTTGTATTCTCTTTGCTTTCTGATCCTTTGTACATCACCCACTTCCTCCAACTTTTTTGTTTGTTTTTGGTGATGGGGAGATTGTTTGAATACTTTTTAATGTTGTATAGTATTTTATCTGTTGGATTACTTTGCTAATTTTTAATTTGTGGTGAGTTTAAGAATTCCAAAAT